CAAAACTATGACATAAAACTCTCTTTCTATTATTGTGAATTTTCTAGCACACATCACTCCAAAAATGATTTTTGGGGTTGTCTAGCATTCAAGAGCCATTTAGTTTGTTAAAAAAGGAATGCGAATGGAGTCTAACATATTTGAAATATTTATTTAGATAGGTGTAAAATAAATATAGATAATTATTTTTTTGTTTAGCTTGAAGTAAATTGAATGCAATATAAAACCCTATGATGATGGTGGCTAGCAACGACAAGTGGTGGCATTGGCGGTGGTGGGGGGCCGTGTTGGCTATCAATGGCAACAATAATGGTACAATATTTATAGTGTATTTGGAAATAAATCAAATCTAATGATTTTCAAATATAATAAAATTGAATAAGAGAGTATTTCAAATAATTTAAAATTTTACTTTGCATTTTTTACTTTAAATCAAATATCAATATTTTCCAAAACCTCTGCATTGAAAATATTTTACATATATTTTAATTTAAACAAAACAACCTTTAGTGAAATACTATTTCATATATCTATATTTTACAATTAGATCATTAAATCCCATAATTTGATGTATTTAATATACATTATCTGGTAGCTTTTTAGTTGTTATTTGCTTCTTCTGCCTTAGGGTGACCTAAAAACTCAAAATTGATCAATTATCATTTGAGTTCAAGTTAAATAAGCCAAGTTAGGATTAAACATGTCATTTTCTGAGTTAAACATATTACATATGGATTAAATGGAACATATTGATTTAAAAAATTGAAAGTTTATATAATAAATGAGTCTAATGAGTTAGTTTATTTGGCTCATATGATAAATGGGTCAAATGAGTTAGGTGTCAAATATTTTGATAATATCTTATTTGTTCATGTTTGAAAATTGATCAATTTTTTTGAATAAAAAAGATTAATGTTAGATTATGGATCAAAATTTTATCAGATATTATGTCTCAACCTTAATCAAATTTTAATTTAACATTGTTCGTATGTTATTCAAATCAAAATTGATCATGGGGGACTTAAAAAAAGTATCTACAATATAGAACAAGGGTATTTTGATCAAAATTTATTTGCGTAGTAGTCTACTAGCACACACGCTTATTTAATTTTGACCATTGTGAGGCATATAACTCAAACTTTCCTAATATTTTACCAAAAAAACATTCCTAATAAATTAGGTTTCAATTAAATCTTATATTTATTTTACTTCAAGCCAAACATTTGACCAAAATTCAATTAGATATAAAAAATTGGCAATTTATAAAATGTAGCCTATTTAAACTTAAATTAGCTTAAGAAGCAAGTTAACGAAAAAATTTATAAAGGAACAATTACGGAGAACAAAAGGTTGTATTTATAAATTGGAACTTAATTATCCAATTCAATTGAAACAAGAAATTAATTATCCAGTTTTAATTATTTGATTCAATTAAAACCATAACTTCATTATCCGATTTCTATTGAAACAGCAACTTCATTACCCGATTTCAATATAAATCAATATTGTTGTAACTCGGGCTTCCAAGTTTATGGTTTTTGGTGATAACAAACATTACTAATTGCATCTTTATGTCTCCTTGTACTTGTAGTGCATATTTGCTTTTATGTGTACTAATATTTCATGTAAATCATGCACAACACAATGAAGATTTATGACTAAAGATTGGGTAGAATAGGATATGTCGAAAGAGTCTGTAAAATTTATTTATGTACATTTCAATTTATTGAGTTAAGTCCTATAAAGGTGTTTGCTAATTTAGTGACCGTACACACACACACTCAAAGGAGTGAGAGAATGGAAAAATTAGAATAGTAATTTTTGGAACTAATCATAATGTATGATAGGTATTATATTGTACGATTAATTTATTAAAAAAATATTAAAATGATTAATCATGTAATTAATGTTATTTGAACGGATCGTCATGTATGATACATATCGTATAAAATGATCCATTGAAATTAAGAACTTAGCCGCCAATTATAATTCAGATAATATTTTGAAACACAAATTATGTATTAATTGTATTGTACAATATGTATAGTAATGCACGATGTAATTAAATTTTGCCTAAATTAATCGCATAATCAGGAATCAAAGTTGGATTAATTTGTTCATTAAGAATGGACTATATGATTGGACAAATTGTATTATACGACCCGATCTTTGCATGAGACAATATTTTATCGTCACTAATTATACGGGAAAGATAATCCAATTTGATTGTACTAATCATACTGGACGATGATCATATCGTACTAGATGATCAACTCAAATATTTGAATTAATCGTATTGTATTGGACGATGATCATATCATACTAGATGATCATATCGTATAGTACTAATAGGGATATAGTAAACTAGTCATACTGTATGATTTGGTATCATATTGTATGATCATAGTCGACATAATTTAATTTTTAGAGTTTCTTAATGCCCTCTATTTAAGCTTTCTCATAAGACTTTGTATGAGTCTTTTGGGTATTTATGGAGCGTTTTCCTCTGAAGAAAGCTTGAAGAGAGAGCCTAGAACATGAGAGAGAAAGGGTAGAGTTTATGAGAGAGGGAGAAGATCCTTGTGGGTTGTAATGGAGTGTGAAAGAGAGTTCCATATGGTTGCTCTCACAAACTTGCATATGAGTTCCTCTATGTGTCAAGGTTTTTCTCCAGGGAACCTTTGGGAAGAAGCCCTCTTTAGGGTCAAAGTACCCGATTACTCAGCCGCACCGAGGGAGGTGAAAGTTATTCCATATTTTTTGCCTTCATTAGGCAGGTGAAAAAGGATTTCAGGTTATCTACCTTATCATGAGGGTGAAAAAGATTCCAGGTTCTCTGCCTCACCAAGAGGGCAAAAAGGATTCCGATCCTCTGCTTCACCGGGTTGGTGGAAGAGATTTTGCAAGGGCTTCTCCGCCTAGCTGTGGGGGCTAAATGAGGAACTTTTATTTGGTCTGGTCACCTAATGTAGCTCTACGTTCGGACGCCACTAAATTAGTGCCACGTGTTCTAACTATTTACCGCGCGGTCCGACAACCCGACCTGAAACGGAGCCGGGATTGTTATGTTTGCGTATTGCTAGGTATTATTCGGTATTGGTCGATTTTGCTCAGCAATAACGAGAAATACCATTCCGTGAAGACCAATACCGAGCAATACCGAGAAATACCGAGCAATATCGAGCAATACTGAGCAATACCGAGCAATACGCGAACATAGCAATCCCGGGTTAGGTCGTTGAGCCGCGCTGTAAAGAGTAAGAGCACGTGTCGACATATTATTGGTGTCCGAATGTAAAGCTACATCAGGTCACCTGACCTAATAATTGTTCCTAAATGAGAGACACAATAATGATAGTGCAATATCCGAAGAGGACACAAGTTATGGTTTGACTGAATCATTATAAAAATCTGATGCGTTTGTTCTGATTTCTTATTTTCTATATTTTACTTTTATGCACTTTTTGATTCCTCAGATTTCAAGATAGATTTATATCTATGATAATTGCTTGGAGAAAATCTATGATTGATAATACGTTGTGATGATTAAATTGTCATTACCTTTATTGTAACTCTTGAAAAGTTTATTAAATTCCACATCAAGAGATAGTATTGCTTCCTCATTAGTGTGCCTAGGGATAAATTCATTTAGGCTTAGCATTTTTATCGAACTTTCAGGTACTCTATTCATCGGTTTCAATAGAAATCCCCCGGTTTTCATACATAATTTATAAAACAAAATTAAAATAACAATTTTCTTGGAATTACATAAATCAGTATTACTTTTTCAAATGAAAATAAAAATTTTAACCACGTTTTTTCTTGACAATTGTAAGAACTGAGCACATTTAAAAAAATTAAATATTATTAATTTTACTTCTTCTCTTTTTTTTTTTTAATTTACATTGTTTCAATGTTTTGCTTATTAGTTAAATTATAACTTATTATTAAGTTTAGATAAATTTCATGTTACTTATTTATTAATTTTTTTATTAATAAATTAAATATATTTAATTAAAATTTAATGAATAAAATTAAATTTAATCGAACAATAATTTTAATTAAAATAAAACTATTATGTATGAATTTATAGTATAGTTTTATTTACTAACGTGCATTAAAATTTTAACTTATTTACTACTCAATCAAGAAGTCAACGAACTAATCCAACAAATTTTTTAGCCAAAAGGCTATCATTGTCGTACCTTTCACTAGATGACCGTTATCTCGAGCTAAATTTTGAGACCACCTGATCATCCAATTAATTTCAAAAGATTTTTAATGTTGCGTTTGTCTTGCTGACACATTTCGTTAAGCTATAAAATATCCAATTAATAAAACCTTATATTTTCTTTAGAAAAAATTAAATTTAATTTCTTTTACAATATTAGATTTCTTAATTATTTAATAAAAATTTAATTTAATTTCAAAAATATACTAATAAGTTTTAATTTAAAAATAAGCAAACAGTGTAAATAAAAAAGAGAAAAATGTAGAATTAATTTAATTTTACTTTTTAAAACATAATAAAGTTTTTACATTAGTTAAAAAAAATATAGACAAAAATTTATAACTCACTAATATAATATAAATAATAATAATAATAATAATAATAAAATAAAAAATTTATAGAAACTGGAGAAATAAAATCCAATTTTTAGTAAAAGTATAAATCATATGATAAAGTTCCGATTTCAATAAAAACTGAATAATAAAATTTCAATTTCTATTGAAATCGGATAACTAAGTTATGTATTTATTCTTTTTCTATTTTTTGCGTTAACCTTTTCTTTAACTAATTTAAGTTTAAAACAGTATCTTTTTATAAATTGGGCTAAACAATTTCATGTTCAATATTTTTTTAAAAATAATAACTTACATATTATTAAATATGAACAGCATTTATGAATTCTTATTTTGAGTAAAATTCTACAGCTGCAAGACTGCACCTTTTGGGCGTATTTAATTTGTGGTTGGAATGTTGGATCTATCCTTTACATCAACAATGACCGTGGCTTTTAATACCCTCATTTTTTATGCTGCCACTGCAATGTAGAAATTTAAAGATAATAGTTGTCCTTAAGCTTTTTAACTGTGGAATTAGGTTAGTAAATGGTACAGTACTGGAAAAGTGATTGTGAGGGTTCCTTTTGAGTCCTACCTATTAGTTCAGAGAAAGAGGAAATGCAGATTTGCTTCGTAGTTTTTCAAGAGTTATATGGAAGAGTTGGAGAACAGAGCTTTAAGTTGACAGGTTTAGCTTTCTTCTAATGATGGATCCTGAGATAGGGAAGAGCTTCAAGTCTCCAATTGTAAGTAAGAGTTTTTGCTTGAAAATTAGTCAGCACTTAAGGTCGGGTTATTCTGGTTGTTCTTGCGCAAGTTAATTGATTGGCTCGAGTTTACGAAAGTTTTTTTTTTTCTTTGGATTTTGCATTTGATCTATGACTTTTGTAGTTATTTGGTTTTTCTGAAACGTGCAGAAACATTCATGGAAATCTACATTGCTTTTAGCGTATCAGAGCTTGGGTGTGGTTTATGGAGATTTGAGCATTTCCCCTTTGTATGTTTTCAAAAGCACATTTGCAGAGGATATTACACACTCGGAGACTAATGAAGAAATTTTTGGAGTACTTTCATTTGTATTCTGGACTCTTACACTTGTACCTCTTCTCAAGTATGTCTTCATTGTACTTAGAGCTGATGACAATGGCGAAGGTGCTTCTTCTCTGAATTTTTAAAAATAAACAATTAATAGTAGGTCTTTACATTCAAAGAAAAGTTAGGTTTTTAGCAGGCTTTTATGATTGAATGCAGGTGGCACTTTTGCTCTTTACTCTTCAATATGCAGGCACGCCAATGTATGCCTCCTGCCTAACAGACAAGTTGCAGATGAAGAAGTTTCTACGTATAAATTGGAAGCCCCACCAGAAAAAAATAATGGATCCTGGGTGAAGATTTGGCTTGAAAAGCACAAGAAGTTGCATACAGCTCTTCTTGTAGTTGTCATGCTTGGTACATGCATGGTGATTGGGGATGGTGTTCTTACTCCGGCTATATCAGGTATATCTCTGTTTTGTTTGCTTATGTACTGTTATGGTTAACAGATCTTCTCACTTACTGTTGTTGGATTGCATGTGTTCTCTAGTTTTCTCAGCAGTTTCAGGGCTCGAGTTATCCATGTCCAAAGACCACCATCAATGTAAGTCTTTTTAAAATTTTATAGCACTATGTGTTTATCGGTAAATTTCAAGCTTGTCTTTATTTTTTATTTGTTCGTATGTATTTTTACTTTGTTTTCTGAAATTGTCAAGTTTTATTTTATGAAATAGGGTGGGGAACCAATGGGTAATATGTTGTCTTTGTGTTAAGCGGTTAAGCTGTTATAAGAAGGCCGGTGTTCCATACAAGTTGCTTGTTTTTCTTCGTCTTAGAATCAATCAGTTGATGCTATTATGAGTATTGTTTATGTTTATCAAGTTGAATATTTAAACCTGCCTATCTTTGCTAGCAAAGGGCACAGTTGTGCTGCATTTTGTTTGCCTTTCACTTTCCTAACTTTAATCAATCATTATATGGGTTATCAGTGTTCTCCTGGTCCAAAATCTGGCCTTTTTTTCCTTGTTTTTGAGTGAGTATCCACTTTTTCTGAGAATTCTTCTAGTGCTAGACAGTCAAAGTAATTAGCCTGCATGCACATTCTTTTGCTGGGTACATTTGGTTCTTTTTGAGCTTTAAAATTGAACCAACGTTGAGAAATTTTGCCTGCTAAGCATTCATCTGGCAGTGATTTCGATAAAAAATGATTGTATATTGATAATCCCATTATACTGTTAAGTTATGAAGCTTAATTTTGTGTTCCCTACGAAGAAAATGTATTTTATCAAGAGAGTTTGGGGATTTAAATGTTTTTTTGGCTTCCTAGTATTTCAATGGATCTTTATGTTGTGGTTGGAGAAATTATGACGGTAAAAACTTCACAATAAAATCATAGTGAAATTTTCAACAACGATCTCATTATGTAGCCATCAATTGCGTGAATTTGTATATATTTTTGATGTATGTTTTGAGCTTTTATTTCTATTTCTATTTTTCTCGCTCTCGGTGGTTGAATTAAATCTCCTCTACTTCACAACATAAATTTCCTACTTATTTATGATGTCATGATATCCAGTCGTTGAAGTTTGTTTTTAATGCTAATTGATCTTGCTTATGTTTTTATTACCTCAATTTGCTGGATGATCTTGCTTATGTTTTTATTACCTAAATTGCCATAGTTGATTGAGTTGAGACTCAACATTCTCATAGGTATATGACCTCTACACAACGAAAACAACAAAAATGAAGAGAAAACACTGCAGAAATTGGCGAGAAAATTTGTTATTTCAGCACAACAAATCAAGATACAAGTTGATCTACTATTCGAGAGGTAGATTGACTCTCCACAAACCCTTGGTGACGCTAGGAATAACTCCAAAACAAACTATAGCAAACACAATCACATAATGAAAATAAAATAACATAACTTTCTCCCAAATATGAATTCAATTCAGCCATATTTTCTTAAATAATTTTTTCTCAAATCTGAATTCAGATCAACCCTCTCTCCCTAAATGAACCTTCATAATACCCTTCCAAATATGAATTCAAATTAGTCCTATTTCCCTAAATAAACATTCCTAATTTCTTCCCAATCAAATAAGCCCTCTTTCCCTAAATGAACTTTCATAATTTTCTGCCAATCAAATCAACCATCTTTCCCTAAATAAACATTCCTAAAATTCTCCCAATTTTGGTCTTCTATGTTAAGTAATTAATCTCCCTTTGATCCCCCATCTCTCCTTGCCCGCTGTCCACTCTAGTGGGGCCCACAGGCTCAGTCAGTCCATCAATACTTCCCTTCCAAAGAGCCACCTTGTCCTCAAGGTTGAACAAATAAATTGCTGCTGAAGCATTGAACTAATAGCACTGGATTGGAAAATGGTCTAACACTGGGTCGAATGATCCTTAGCATCTCCTTGGTTAATCTCTCGATCTTTCCTTCTGCATTTGGTGATAATGATATTGGTGAACACTGATAGGTGAAACTCCTTCCTTCAAGATGATAGCATTTTCGTGTTTCCATAGAGGGGCAACCCCCTGAACTGGCTGAAACACCTCTTGATACAATTGTAGGAGTAGCTGAATCATGTTTGGTGCTTTTATGTTCTCCCCATCTTCTTCTTCCAAACTTTGCAGTTCCACCAAAAATCCCACTCTTTCACCCTTTCCCCTCCTCGGAAGTAGCTCCAAATCCTCCTTCTCCCAAAATTTTCACCTCCCAATCCTTCCTTATCGCCGTATATTAGGGTTTCTCTCACTTCCTTGTCTAGTCAACGGTGCCCTTGCCTCAAATGATGTTATCTTGGCTTGAAACTCTAACATTCTTTTCACCATCTTGTCCATATTCAAAAGTCTGCCCTCAATTGTTGAAATTCACTCTTCGAATTTAGATTTTAGATTTCTAACTTACCTAACAAGCCTCTCCTCTAACGCATCAACTTTTTAAGCCGCTATAGGTACCAAAAAAGGTGTTCTGATGCCAATTTGAATGGAATCTGACTCTACACAGTGAAAACAACAAGAAAAAAGAGAAAACACAACATGAATCGGCGAGAAAAACTGTTATTTTAACACAACAAACCAAGATACAAGTTGATTACTATTTGAGAGGTAGACCGACTCTCCACAAATTCTAGGCTCTGCTAGGAATGACTCCAAAAGAAACTACAACAAACACTATCACGTAATGAAATAAAATGACATAATTAGCCCTAAATCCGCTCTCCTAATTTCCTCCCAAAATTGAATTCAAATCAGTCATCTTTCCTAAATAGTTCTCTCAAATCTGAATTTAAATCAACCATCTTTCCCGAAATAAACCTTCTTAATTCTCTTCCAAATCTGAATTCAAATAAGCTCTCTTTCCCTAAACAAGCATTTCTAATTTCCTCCCAATCAAATCAATCCTCTTTACCTAAATAAACATTCATAATTCCCTCTCCATTTTGATCTTCTATGGTAAGTAATTAATCCTCCTTTGACCCCTCTCTCTCCTTGCCCGCCATCCACCCTAGTGGGGTCCACAAGCTCAGTCGGTCCATCACATTCATGATTAGAATCTCTATGATTGGTTTGTGTGACTAAGCTTCTTACTATGATTAAGAAGGAAAAATGATCCCACCAAGAAGTAATAAGATTAAAGGTTCAGCAGCTGCACAAAAAGGATTTCACCTATTGCAGTTGTCCATGATTCAGATTTTCTTATTATACTACAATTTAAAAAAAAATTCAGTCACATAATTGAGAAAGAAAAAAGTTACAAGGAGATTGATGTGAGGAGTTAGTTGAATTTATGAGGGTTCAACATCTATATTTTTATAATTAATTTCATTTTTGAACAAGAAGCAGTTCGAGTAGATTATTGTCATTATCATGTTGATATTCTGAATATTTTTCTAATTTGTCACATGTTAATTTCATCTTTTGAATGATCACTTGTTTTTCCCTTATGTGACATTTCTATGCAGATGCCGTGGTTCCCATCACTTGCTTCATTATCATTTGCTTGTTTGCCCTTCAGCACTTCGGCACTCATCAGGTTGGGTTCCTTTTTGCTCCAGTTGTATTGGCTTGGCTACTTTGTATAAGTGCACTTGGCATATACAACATTGTACATTGGAATCCACATGTATACCAAGCACTTTCTCCATATTATATGCTGAGATTTTTGAAAAAGACTAAGAAGGGTGGTTGGATGTCCTTAGGTGGAATTCTACTGTGCATTACAGGTAAACTAATGGCATTCCTAAAATCCAAATGTTCTTTCGTAGTTAAATGTGAATATAAGCTAATTTAGTTGACATTTATGAGGACCCTGCTTTTGTTGTTACAGCGTGGATCAGTCAATTTGAAAACTAATCCAAACTGAATTTAAGTTGATGAATTAAGAATTAATTTTTTCGGTCATTAACTATTAAACTAAGCATCTAAATTCGATTGAAATGTCATAATAAACTTCACCTAGCTCTGACTGAAAACTTTTAGTAAAAAGTTTTTTGTTTATACAAATAGTTCATCGAACTTTTTGCATTCCTGTGGCATTTCAGGATCAGAGGCAATGTTTGCAGATCTGGGTCACTTCTCATATGCTGCTATTCAGGTCCTGTCTGACGTACCTCAACTGCAAATTCTATGCTTTTAATGTCGGATGCTGATAATATATATATTTATATATTTTTCTATATTCCTAGTATAGATCGCTTTCACAACTGTGGTTTATCCAGCACTAATATTGGCATATATGGGTCAAGCTGCATATCTGTCGAGACATCATAAAATATATACAAGCTACCAGATTGGCTTTTATGCATCAGTTCCAGGTATGTTGCCATAGATAAATTGCATCAATTTCTTGAGAAATTAAGGGAAGCAACATGTAAACCTATTAACATAATGATTATCGCTTTTCTTCATTCAGTAGTCATATATTCCAGGCAATATTATCAGCAAGAGAATGGTGGCGTGTGACATTACTGTGGTTATGGGAAATCGCCTGCTTTTGTGTGACTGAATCTTAATATAAAGGAAATTACACGATTAAAAAACTTTGTTCATTGGAGATTTATACTGTTACTTTAGCCCTCGAGAAAAATCAGTAGAGAATGTTTGAACTTTGAAGCTAGGTAAATAGGAAATGGAAACTTTTATGGAAGTTGAAAAATGATCACAAGTGCAAGCACTCATATTCACAAATGTACACTAATAAAAGAGTTGGTGCCATTGACACACTTTACATATGCATTTATGGGAACTATTGCATGCCCTGAGCATGTGGACTTGCACATGTACACCGATGCCCGCTATGTTCACATTCACATGTATGACTGCCAAGCACAATAATATGCTGATACCTATGCATACATGCACGCAAACAATTTTGTGGTAAAATATTATCAGTGGAGTTACTTGACAGAAATACAGTTGTACTTATGTAACGCCCACGCATAACTTAAATTTTGTTGGATAATCAATTAACCCACAAATAACCTTGTTCTCAGTTTCCCTCCAATGCAAGATCTGAGGGATTCCAGTATGCAGTCTAATTTTTGCTTGCAAAGAGTTTGCTTCAATGATAACGGTGACCTCAAAATCACAATGAAGGTCTGACACTCCAATTTGATTACTACTGCTATCTAAGAACGCTGCCCTTGCAGATAACAAATTACAAGCCCACAAGGTGCCTTTGAATTGAATCTTTTTTTCCCTTCTCATCAAGGAAATGGGTCTGGACAAGTAATGGGGATCTCTCTTACAATGAAGATATTGTATGGTTTTCCTCTTCTTATGAGTCCTCTCAGTATTTTTGTCTTACCTTCTCTTTCCACCCAAGGTTAGTTTGTTTAAACAAAAGTATTTGGAAGTGCATGTCTCTTTTCTAGAATTTAGTCTGAGCGTTTGGATTAGATTTTGTTCTAACTTTTTGATCTCACTTTCATAAATGTGAGATGAGTTTCAACTTTGAGGGTTTGAAAGTCACATTCACTTTTGCTTTTTGCATTTAGTTAATAATGAAATAGCATAAAGTTAATAGGAGAGTAGGTTACAATTCTTCTTTTCATAGAATAAACTAATATAAAATCATTAGTGGATGGGTAAAAAAAGAAACTATAATATAAAGAAACGCCAAAATTGAGTTCATGCAAAACAAAGAAACATTAGTCGAATCTGCTTCGGTAAAATTTACTTAAAAAACTCAAGAATAATTATTACCAGAAACATATGATGAAACGAACTGTCTTGTGGCTCTCATCCGTTTTTCTAAAAACCATGGTTTTCTTGGATGTCTTGGTTAGATACACAGATTTAATGGTGATATTTTCCTTGGGTAATAAGTTGGAAAAAACTGGTTTCCAGTGCTTACTGGCTAGAGAATTCACAAAATATTTGAATTTTCGAAAACATCTCCTTAATCACATTTATTTCTCTCTGTTTGTTTTGTCTCTCATATCACATAACTATTTCACTTGTTGATTATAGAAGGAGAATCAGGGACGTGCCGATAGGATATAGAGATTAAAAAAGGCGAGGGTTTAGGAGTTTTATCCAATGGTATCGTCCCATTATGGTTTTATTCCTGACCGCTTTGCAGTGAGGTTATTAGTAATCTGGCGTAGTATCTCTATCTTATGCTGGACAAGTTATTTCTTAGATTAGTGTTATTATTGAGAATGTCTGCAGCCGAGGCAAGAACGGGAAACAAAGAGAAGACGAGACAAGATAGGGAAATAAACAGAGGAAATGAAATAATGTATTGATGTCTGTATTAGCCATTACAATGTATTATATAGACGAGTTTAAGCAAGATAATCAAGATAGTACATAACGGTACGTGATGTAAACCAATAAGTGAATGACAGGTGTCTTAACAGGCCCCCTCAAATTAATCATTCGGTGAGCGAATGGTTAATTTGGACCTAAGGTATTGGAATTGCTTTAGCGGGAGAGGCTTTGTGAGAATGTCCGCTATCTGATCCGTAGAACTGATTTGAGCGATATGAATTGCGCCTTGCTTGATGTGTCCGCAGATGAAGTGGTAGTCTATTTCTATATGTTTGGTTTTGACATGGAAGACGAGATTATTGGCAAGAGCGATGGCGGAGGTGTTGTCGCAGAAGATTGTGGTAGGAGCCGGTTGAGGAGTGTGAAATTCCTCCACTAAGAGACGAAGCCACAGAATATCGGACGTGTTAGATGAGAGAGATCTATATTCCGCTTCAGTGGAGGATCTAACGACTGTTGTTTGTTTCTTTACGAACCAGGAGATGAGATTTGGACCGAGGAAGGTGCAGTGTCCTGAAGTGGACTTTCGATCGGTTGGGTCGACTTTGTTGTGATGAAAATTGAGATGTTGTAAGAAGGAAGTGAACTTTTGGAACCATTGGCGAAGTGATTGTTTTAATCCGTAGATCGATTTGTATAGTCTGCAGACATGGTGAGGATGTTGAGTATCTTCGAACCCGATGGGTTGTCTCATGTATACCTCGTCGTGAAGGTCGGGCTATTGATGAATGAGTGCGAAGGTGAGGAGAATGCGAATGGTTACCATTTTGGCGACGGGGCTAAAGCTGTGTAGTTGACGCCGAATTCTTGGGAGCAGCCTGGAGCGACGAGTCGGGCTTTGTATCGTTCGATGTCACCATTAGGTTTGAGTTTGGTCTTGAACGTCCATTTGCAATCTTGAATAGGTTTGTTCGAAGGTGGTGGTATAAGAGACCAGGTGGCCTGTTGTTGAAGGGGCCAGGTATTCGGAGGACATGGCTGCTCTCCAGTGTTCGTGTTTGGAGGCTTGGACGTAAGAGGTGGGAGATTTTTCTTTTGGCGAGACCACCGACAGGTCGAATATGTGTTTTGGTTTCGAAATGCCAGACCTTAGGCGCGTTTGTATGGGGTGGCGGAGTGTGATATGTTGGCTGGAGGAGTTTGTTGTGGTGTTTGTGCTGTTGTTGCTGGACATAGGAAGTGGGTGCTCGGTGTACTGAGTAGAAGGAGCTTGTTGTATGTGTGGCTAGACGGGTGAAGAGATAGTGGACGTGGGAACCAGGGTTAGGGGAGAATAATTCGTGTATAGGTGGAGGGTCGGGCGTTGAGGACTGTTGTTTATAGGGAAATTGATGCTCGTAGAATTTGACATGCTGGGATATATAAATGCGATTGGTTTGGACGTCGAGACAGCGATATCCTTTGTGTTGTGTAGAGTAGCCTAGGAAGATGCATATGTGAGATTGAGGCGCCAGTTTGTTCGGTGCGTATGGTTTAGTCCATGGAAAGCATATACATCCGAATGTGCGGAGGTGACTGTAAGATGCTTAGTGACCGTGGAGGCAGGAATAGGGAGTTTGATTGCGGATTGCTGAGCATGGAAGGCGATTTATGAGGTAATTTGCAGTTGAAATGGCTTCTGCCCAGAAGATTGGTGGTAGGTTAGCGGCATGAAGAAGGGTGCGAGTCAGCTCCAGGAGATGTGTGTGTTTCCGTTCGGCAATGCCATTTTGTTCTGGCGTGTGAAGACATGTAATTTGGTCAATGATGCCGTTTTGTGTGAGATAGTCCCGAATCACATGACTTGTAAATTCTCCATCGCCATCAGTCCGGAAGGTCTGGATGTTGGTGTTAAAATTGTTCTTTATTAAATTATGAAATTGATGAAATTTGGCAAAAGTTTCTTCTTTGTAGTGAAGTAAACAGAGCCAAGAAAATCTCGAGAAATCATCTATGAAAATGACGTAATAACGAGAGCCATTCATTGAAGAATTTGGTGCCAGACCCCAAACGTCCGAGTGAAAATTTGAAATTTCTTTGTATAGGTTGAGGTGCTTTTGGGAAAGAACATTTTGTGACTTTTGGAGACATTACAGGAAATGCAAGTTTCTAATGGAGTATTACATTTTGTAAGATCTGGAATGGAGTTTGCTAAAGTTTCGAGAATGCGAAAATGTAGGTGGCCGAGCCTGGAGTGCCATAGTGAAGTAGACGTGCAGGAAGCTGTTAAGGTAGCTGATTTAGGTGTGGAAGGAGCCTTGAGACGGTATAGACCATTATGTTTGTGACCGCGGAGAAGCAGTTGATTGCACTGACGATCCTTTATAAAAAATTCGTTAGCGTTAAAGCATATGGAAATATTGTTGTCAGATGCTAATCTAGAGACAGAAAGCAAATTATGAGAAAGTGACGGAACATGTAAAATATTGCGTAAATTAGCAATGGATACTGAATCAAGTCCATTATACGGCGTGATCTACTAGAGGTTGGAGGCATCAGCGGTGAGATGGGACGAAGCTCCGGAGTCCAAGATCCAGTCCGTAGTAGAGGAGAACTGCTATTGGACAGCGAGAGCTTTGGGATTTGATGGAGGAGCGTAGTTGAGGTTGCAGCAGTGCCAGTAATTTAGCGCCGAGCGTCCTGTTTTGCCGCAGATCTTGCAGTTTGGTCTGTTGGAGCTGTTCTTGATTGGATTTTGGAGATCCGGGGAGGATTGGGGGCGAGGAGTGAAATTTCTCCCGCGAGGCTTGTTGAGCTGCCCGCGGTTGTTGTAAGTTCTGTTGGAAAGAAGTGCTAGCACCTCAGATTGCGATGTTTCTTTGAGATGCTGGTGCTGGAGATTGATTTCTTTGCTGCATAGCAAAGAATAAAGATCATCGAGACAAATGGGTTGAAGGGAGGTTCTTATGGAAGTTTTGAAGGCGTTATAGGTTGAGGGTAGTCCATTTAGGATGTAGAGAACTAGGTCTTCCGTGTCGATGGTGGAGTCGGCGGCCGCAATGTTGTCGACGAGGATCTTGGTTTGATCAAGATATTGCTGCATCGTGCGATCTTTCATTTG